GCGCCGGCCGCGCCCCCGTCCTGGCCGCCCGACTCTTCAGGACCCTGGACCGCGACGGCGACGGCCTGGTCAACTTCAAGGAGCTGGTCACGGCGCTCAGTGAGTCGACCGAGGCCGCGCGGGCGACCTCCTGTAGCGCCTCACTCTCTGCGCCTTCCTTTGCAGGTGGGATGTACCACGGCGACATGACCGACAAGCTCAAGCTGCTCTACAAGCTCCACCTGCCGCCCGGTAAGGCTGGCCGCCTGTCTGTAGCTGCGTGGCGCTGTCCCGAATGGGGGTGACTGACTGACTGAGTGTGTGTGTGTGTGTGTGTGTGTGTGTGTGTGTTGTCCTGCGCTTGAATGGGCAAAACCGCATTGATTTCATTGTTTGTTTTGTGTGTCAGCTCTGTGTCCCGAAGAGGCCGAGTCCGCTCTGGAGGCCGCAAACTTCTTCACTGAAGACGCGCCAAAAGGTTCAAGTGGCTTCTGCTTTCGAAAAAAAAAAACGTGTGACAGGTGAAGAAGGTGAAAAAGTGGACGTGTAAACTCTGCGGGGAGAAACAATCTTTGCTCAAGGTAAGCAGATGAACGCCAGGGGACGGGTGACGTCATCAGGTTCCCCCTCTAATCTTCTTCCTCTTCCTCCCCCCTCTTCTCTTTCTTCTTCCTACTCCAGAAGCTGCCTTCTTGTCTCTTCAAGACATGTTGGCACAGCAGCAAGTGGCTGCAGGTTTGCTTGGGATGATGATGATGATGACGACGATCGCGATGAATTGACAATGATGACGACGAGTCCCAATTTATTTCAGTAGCTCACAAAAGAGTCAGCGAGCCCGCAGCTAACAATGGGGGGGGGGGGAAATCCACGACGAAGGAGTTCGGTGGAGGCAGCGCCGCGGACTGCAGACGTCACGTTCAGAAGCTGAACGCCGCCAGGGGCGCCGTGTTGGAAGAGCGAGACGCCCGCTCGCTTCGGTCAGCGCCAACTTTCTCATTCTCGCCGCACACGCACGACTTTCGTCCCCCCCCCCTCACCCCCCCAGTAGGGCAAGAGAAAGAAAACAAACAACTGAAAAAACATATGGGAAAAATGAGAAAGCTTTCGAAGGGCCTTCAAACTGGGGAATGGGCAGGCAGGCTGCTGTGGGTGGCGACTGGGCAAGATTTGACTTGTAATTTGATGCCCTCCAACGTGAATTGAAATAGCATTGCAGTGCATTGAATAACATCCATCCGTCGGCGATCTGAACCGCTTTAATCCTCATGAGGGTTATGGATGGTCTGGAGCCTATCCCAGCTAGCTGACTTAGGGCAGGAGGCAGGGGTGCACCCTGAACTGCTCACCAACTCGATGATGACAATGATGAAGACTATGACAATGGTGTGCAGGTGAAGAGGCCAACGCGGAGTCTGGCGACGTTAGCGGCGGCGAGGAGAAGAAAGGTAACGGTTGCGCGCCGCCTCCGTTTGACCGAGGAAATGTGTGCGACGGAGGCCCTGACCTCGGACCTTTGACCGGTAGAGGACTACAGGTACTACCTGCGCATGTGGGCCAAGGAGAAGGAGCCCAAGCAGGAATCCATCAAAGATCTTCCTCGAATGAACCAGGTCAGCACGTCGCCGTCGTGGTGTACGCCGGCATTGACGCTGGCCGTCCCTTTTGGTTTTTTTTTTCCCAACACATCATCAAACACTTGCCGATGGTGCGTAATCCCTCGTTTGACGTTGGCATTTGATGCGCACGTAGGAGCAGTTCATCGAGCTGTGTAAGACGCTATACAACATGTT